TTTTTCTGCTGACACTTTTTTCCATTGATTCATTTGCATTGCTTTAAATTTTATGCTTATTATCAGTCTTGTCCATGTCATTTGGTGACACAAGGACTGAAACATACCAAGAGTACATCTGATAAGTCGGAGTGAATGTTTTGCCTTAGAAGCTGTTGATAGTTTTCCAAAGTGGTTGTATCAATTTATAATTCCACCCAGAGTATGTGTGTTCCAGTTACTCTTCATCTTTGCCAGCATTTGATATTGTCAGTCTTTTGACTATAATCCATTCTCCCATTACACAGATTGGCAAACCACCTGGGTCTAAAAGGTTAAATACATTTTTGAAGTGCCAAGTCTGAATTCTAGACTCTTCCCACTATGCCAGCCTATTAAATTTTACACTGTGGGCATCCAGCACTCAAGAATTAATTTAAAAAATACATGGAATGATTTTTTTTATGTTTACAATATATGAAAAAAAAGTTAATCCTCCAAATGAATGGAAAGGTACCTGTAGTCTGATAAGCATCTGTATTAGTACTTACTCAACACCTTATATTTATTTTTGCATAGATGAATTGGGGTGCGGTGGGTGAGAGGAGTCACCAGAGACAGAGTGAGGAGCAGAATAGGCTGCTTTACTGAAATACATTAAGGGGAGCAGCGGGCTAGACAGGAGAGGTCTGTTAGTACCCTGGCCAGGGATTGATCTCAGGCCATAATGGTGATAGTGCTGAAACTTAACCCCTAGGACAGCAGGGAGGCCCTCAGCATCTTATATTAATGATGATGGTTGTGGTGGTGGTACAAATTTAGTTATTCCTTTTGGCCTAAGATATAGGCTGCCGATATTTTTCTGTAAAGGACAAGATAGAAAAAATTTTATGCTTTGCAGACTATCCCTTTACAGTTTCCTTTACCCCTAATATCATTATATACTATTTACATGTGTTCTGCATAAACCTATAGATAGATTGTTCTATTGCTGCATAACAAATTACTCTAAAACTTAGCTGCCTGAAACAATCATTTCTATTTAAGAAATGTTCAGTTTGTTTACAGTCTTGTTTAGGTTCTTGTTTACAGTCTCATGATGCTGAGGTTATACATCATCTGGGACAGCAATAATCTTAAAGTTGGATTGGGATGGACATGCAAGAGGACTTAATTCAAATGGCTGGCAGTTACTGCTGTAACCAATTAGAACTTGAAGAGGTCAACCAGAGAGGGTACAAATGGCCTTTAGAGCATGGTGGCCTTGTAACTGACAGAATTGGTACATGAAGGTTACTTCCTCCAGAGTGAGCATCTCAAAAGCACCAGGCAGATTCTTCATGGTGTTTTCTGACCTAACCTCAAAAGTCACACAAGGTGATTTCCACTGTACTCTCTTTGATGGACTATGATGGTGGACTATGCTTTGATGCTTTGGTGTGGGTGTAATGTGATAACAACACCCAAAGGAGGAGTATACCTGTAAAACACAATGTAAACCAAAGTTACCTCAGTAAAAACACATGCATACATACATAAAAAGTAAATCAGTGGGGCCTCCCTGGTGGCACAAGGGATTAAGTCTCAGCACTATGCAGCTCTCCGCAGGCACTGTAGCATGAGTTTGATCCCCAGCCAGGGGGCTAACCCACATGGCACAGCAGACCTCTCCTGTATGCCCACTGCTTCCCTCAGCAGTGTATTTCAGTCATTCCATCTGTTCTGCTCCCCATTCTGTCTCTGGTGAATCCTCTTACCCCTGCCCCCTCCCCTGGGCCTATACCCCACCTCTTGTATGCATAAATAAATAAAATACATCTTTAAATCAATCAATGAGTCAGTCAATAAATACATCAGTCATAAGTCCGCTCAGATTCAAGAGGAAGAGACATAGCTCATATTCCTCAATTAAAAGAGTTCAAAGTCACATGTGGAATGGGATGTCATCTTTGACAATTAAATCTGTCCTCCAGGTAAAGAAACAGATACGATCTGCATATAGATAATTTGTTGGAGTAATGTTGCTAATGGTGAAGGTATGGAATATTTATATTATATTATTTATTAATAGTGAAAGTATGGAATATTTCCAATGTTACCCAATGGGAGCCTGATTAAATAAAATGTGGTAAATCAAAAGAGTAGAATAATAGGCAACATCATATTTGCCATACCTGTTATTAGCTGTCTAATTGATTATATCCCTCCTAGTGGGTATGAGTAGTAGCTCACTGTGATTTTGATTTTTATTTCCTTGATGATAAATGATATTGAACATCATGCTTACTGACAATTTGCTTATTCTCTTTGTAAAAATATCTGTTCAGATCCTTTGTCCGTTTTAAAGTTGGATTATTTGGGGTTTCTTAAAACTGAGTTTCAGGAGTTCTTTATACTTTTTAGATATATGAAACTATATTAGCTATATCACTTTCAAACAGTTATCAAATATGTCACTTTCAAAATTTTCTCCCATTCTGTGGATTGTCTTTTTGCTTTCTTGATGTTGTCTTGTGAATCACAAAAGTTTTACAGTTACATTACAAAAGTTTGAGCTTTTGGTGTCATATCTGAGAAAACATGAAGAATTCACCTATTTTTTTCCCTAAGAGTTAAATAACTTAACCCTTAGATTTATTTAGTCCTCATTTTAATTTTTATTTTTAAAAAGATTTATTTATTTATGCATACAAGAACTGGGGTGTAGGCCAGAGGTGTGTGTGGGATGGTGGTGAGAGGATTCACCAGGGACAGAGTGGGGAGCAGAGCAGGCAGATCTACTGAGATACACTGCTGAGGGGAGCAGAGGGCCAGACAGGAGAGGTCTGCTGTGCCATGAGGGTTAGCTCCCTGACTGAGAATCAAACTGGAGCTGCAGTGGCTGTGAATAGCTTCATTGGCTGCTAATAGCTTCTTTGGCTGCTGATAGCTTCAAAGTACTGAGACTTAACCCCTTGCGCCACCAGGGAGGCCCCTTGATGTTATTTTAAAGGGAAACATTTTCTTACTCCCCTCTTCAAATTGTTCATTGCTACCATAAAGAAATAAAGTTGATTTTTGTGTATCAATCTTGTATTCAGAATTCATGTGTTAGTTCTTATAGTACTTTAGTGGACTCCTTGGGATTTTCTGTATACAAGATCACGTCATCTATAAATAGAAATAGCTTTATTTCTTTCCTTAAAATTTGGATGCCTTTTGTTTCATTTTTCTATTCTGAAAAAAATTTGAGCGTATGTCAATAAGAAATTAAGGCTCTTCATTTTTGTTCAACTATTTAATTATACAAATGATTTCTCTAATAACCTATTTTTTTTACTACTGATCAGAAATATTTCCTTATTATATACTATAACCTTTTAAACTTGGGCCTGTTAGTGGGCTCTCTGTTTTACACTTCTTACTACGCTTATTCCAGTGCTACACTGAGTTAAGATTGTAACTTTATCATTCTGCTTCCTTGAAGTGTGATTTCCTCCATTAGGTGTAATGAAGTCCACATGGGATAAGCTAGCACTGTGTCCCGCACATAGTGATATTCCCTAGAGGGCGATACCACATCCTGTGGCTGTCCTTTGTGTCCCACCACCCACAGTAATTTGAAATAATGGATAACTGATAAGTATTTGTACTGTATATTGAGCACCTAGTATAAAGGATTAAATATTTTTCTAAACCAAACATCCAAAGAGAACCAGGGTAAAAAATGTACTAAGAAGATTATGTAACTAAATCTGTACTGATGGACAATTGTTATGTTCCAGTTTTTTTTCCATTATAAACTAAGTTAATAGGATCACTATTGTAGCCCCAGTGACAGCAAAGAATAAATGCATAGTAAGTAATTGTTATGGGGATTTTTCAAACATAAAACATAAGATTATATTTCACAGCTTTATTATCTCAGTAGGTAAATAATAAAGGTGGAAATTATGTGCCAGAAAATCAAATATCCTTATTTTTTTCTTACGTGTAACAATTACAAAGTTGCCTTTCAGAAAATTTTTACTAATAAACTCAACACGAACAGGTAAGAGAGCATGCGTCCGCAACTCTCCAACAAACCTGATACACATTTTTATGTAATCAAATCTATCAACGTTTTTCTTCATTGCTCATCTTTTTGTTATATTTTTAAAGGCCTTCCACACAAAAAAGCTTATGTGGAAACGGAGGCTGCTTGTTCAGAACTTGTTCTAACAAGGGAGTCAGCCACCATCACTGGCGCTTGGCAGAGACCTACAGGCAGGCAGGGAAGTAGGCGAGCTCTGTAGTGAGAAAAGGAGTCTTCAGGTATTCTCCAGAAGGCTGGAAGCAGGCTAATTAGAAGCCGGGTATTTTATGTGATTGGTTAAGGGAGCGCATTTGGCTTCGTCTGGGTGGGGAGAAGCAAAAGATAAGGAGACTGGCAGTCATCGATCAAGTCCTGCAGATTGCTGCAGAGCCCGTGGTTTACTGGGCTGCCTGCTGCAGAGGTTACGGGTCACAGTTCTATTGTCACAAACGATGTGGTGGTCGTGGTCCGTTGTGTAGTTAGTCGGTTAAAAAAAACTAATCGTTCTTTAATTCTGCCTCAAGCATCATTTCATTTTCGGATCTAACTAGTTCATTCTGTAGAAAACTGAGGTGTGCGCATGTCAGGGAAAATGAACAATTTCATTTCGGGGGAAACATTTTCCCAATTGTTTTGTAAAGTGCCATAGTCTCCTCTTTGCACAGTATTAAAGGGCACATTTACACGGTTTTATTGGGTGGGTCTGCTTTCTTTCAATGGAATTTAAGAGCTACGTCGTCGAGACTCCTCCCCCAGACCGCCCCACCCAATTTTTTAAAAGCCCAGTGGTTTTATTAAAATTCTTTCTTGGACAAACTTCTTCAAAAGAAGAAAAGGACAAAAGACCCCTGAGAGGTGAGGGGGGACCCGCTCGGGAGAGCCGGCCGGGGGCTGACAGCCGCCGGTTGGTGGGCGGGGCGCGGGGGGCGAGCCGGGGTGACGTGACTCACGTGACCGCGGCGGCAGATGTGGGCACCGGTCCGGGATCCCGCCCTTGCTCCCGGCGGTCGGACCCGGAGCGGTCCGCTGAGCTCCCAGTTCTTCCTCCTGGTTCTTCCAGGTCAGTGGCGGGGGAGGAGGCCCGTCGGGGCCGCCCGCGGACCGGGGGACGGGGGAAGAGGAGCGGGCGTGGAAAGGAGCCAGGTTGGGGATGGGGTCCGGGTAGAGGGCGGCTGGCCCGAGCTTAGATAGAGATGGCGGTGGGGAGATGGCTAAGAGGGAGCCCGCAGCCAGCGGGCGGAGGGTCTGGACGGCGGACACCCCAAGTACTCGTGCCCCCTTTCTCCGCACCTCCTCCTCTCTGCCCTCCGTCCATTTTGGAGCCGGAGATGGTAAGCTGGGGGGCGCCCCAGCAGTGAGACAGTGGAAATAAACCCCCTCTGCCACTCCGTGCGTAGAGAAAAAAGTTGACCTGGAGGGCGGAGAGGCGAGTTGCCTCCGGAGAAGGACACCGAGATCCAAAATTAGTTAGGAAAACATCCTGGTCCGGCGCCCGAGGCGTGAAAAGAAATGGCCGCTGGGGTGCTGGGGCCCGAGGAGTCGGGGGAGGGAAACGTCGGGGGAGGGGGACCGGGTTACTGGAAAGGGACCCGAGTCCGGGTGCATCCAGCAAACGCCCAGCCCCTGTCTCCTGTCTGTCTGCAGCTCCGCGTGTCTGTTGTTCTCAGCACTCCGCTAGGCTAGAAAAAGAGGAGGAACCTGTCCAAAACCCCTCAGGTCAGTGAAGGAGGGGACCACTGGACAGGGACCCAGAGGGGCGGGGAATGTGGAGGGCAAGGGCTCGGCCGGAATTTGGGGCCCTCACCGTCTACCTCCTAACACATTTACATGCACGACGCCACGTTGAGCAAACGCACAGAAAATGGCAGGGGCTGCCAGGGAAAGGGTTGGCTCACGTGTATGGGAGGAATGATGGGGTCCGGGGTGGGCAGAAGGCATGGTTGGAGGGCCAGCCCAGGTCAGGGGAACCCTGACTGGGGAGAGATGACATTGCTGTGGGGACCTGCATCCCACCCTCAAGCTCTCAATCCCCCTGTCTTCTTTGTCCCCTCTCCCTCCCCACCCCACCTCCCATCCCCCAGGACAGGAACAGGAGAAGAAATCTCAGCATGGAAAAGCTCTGCACTGAAGGGAAGCCTGAGAGCGAAGGAAAGATGGGAAATGAAGAACAGCCCCGGGATGCAGGAAGGCCAGAAGTAGCGTGTACTCTGGAAGACAAGAAAAAGTTAGAAAATGAGGGAAAGACAGAAGCTGAGGCAATGCTAGAGGCTGAGGGAAAGCTAGAGAGCGAGGCAGCGCTAAAAGAAGGCAAGCCAGCCATGCAGGGAAAGCCAAGAGAAGGGAGGAAGCCGGAGAGCCTGGGAGAGCCAGGGAGCCAGGGAGAGCCAGGGAGCCAGGGAAAACCAAAGGAAGAAGGAAAGCCAGAGAGTGAGGAGGAGCCCGACAGTGAGGACAATCCAAAGGAAGAGGGAAAGGCAGCCAGCGAAGCCAGGGCTGTAGGCAAGCGCCCGGCTGAGGGTGACATCCCCAGGAAAGCCAAAAGGAAAACCACCAAGGGGCTAGCTCAGTGCCTGAAGGAACACAAGGAGGCCATACATGACATGCATTTGAGCAATGAGGAGATGATCAGAGAATTTGACGAGATGGCTAGGGTGGAGGATGAGGTGAAGAAAACCAGACAGAAATTGGGGGGGTTTATGTGGATGCAAAAAAGTTTACAGGACCCCTTCCACCCCAGGGGCCCCAGGGAACTCAGGGGTGGCTGCCGGGCCCCGCAAAGGGGCTTTGAAGACATTCCTTTCGTGTAGTGCCCCTGGTTGGCATTTGCCAGGCCCTGTGCTTTGAACCTTATGCTAGTCCTTTGCTTTAGGTGTCCCTCTCGATACCCAGCTGCAGCCCTCTGTGTTTCAGTAGCAGATTTTCATCCTTTGCATGGAAAAATGTTTATGGTGCATTGTAAAATTAAAACAGAAGCAGTTTGCAGAACCATATATATGGCATGAGTCCATTTTTGTAAAACTATAAAATCATTTACCTAGAGAGCTATGTACAGAAAAAAGTCCTGAAAGCTGTGTCCACTAAAGAATTAGCAGTGGTCATCTGTGGGTGATTTTTTTTCCTGTTCTTTTTTATTCATCTGTATTATTTTCTTCCAAAAACACAGATTACTTTTGGCATAAAAGTAATGAAAGATAAAAAATAGGAAAACAATATATACCAAGCAATCAAGAACTATTCAGTGAGCTTATGAAGGTAGTAGAGACACTTAAAATTCTCGGTGTCAGGATGTGGAGATGCTTAGTAAAACTCAACTTCTCAAAACTAGAGGAATCAACCTGGTGGTTATTATAGCTCCACTGCTGTAAGGGACAGTCTTGTCAACTGTGAAATGGGGATCTGCTGTCAAGAACCGTGTAGAAGATCAAATGAGGTACTGAGTGTGTAAACTGTGTTGGCCCCTCTCAGATGTTTGGGGGAGGACTGAGGGAGGTCCCACCTGTGTCCATGAATAGCTGAGAGGTAGATGCCATTCTCCCCTGGGTAATGCCAGTCTGTTAGGCACTGTGCCTCTTTTCAGTGGTTCCTGTACCCTCCTCAGGCCCATACTGCTGCTGGCAGGCTGGAGACCAGGATGGATTAAACCAAGAGTATCTCAACAGAAGGGTGGAAAATTCTTATCTGCCTGCAATAGAGTTATCTTTACCCAATTGGGTAGTATGCAGTTGTAACTTGGCCTTGATAAATTTCTTATAAGACCCTCCTTTCTAAAGTTTTTTTGTTGGTTTGTATGTGTTTTGCATACAGCCATCTCCCCTGGATTTAGAGAGTGGAGACTGAGCTAGGAGAAAAATCCGAGTGACCAGATGCTATACTATTCTCACCTGTTAATCTCTTGTCTGCTGATACTTTTTTCTTAGAAGGCCGTGTCTCTCAGGAATTCCTGTTAAGCCCTGCCTTACCATTTCAACAGATCCATCTATGTGGTGTTTTTTCATTTTTATTTGCTTATAGTGTTTTTTAAAAATAAACGTATTTTAGGATAGTTTTAGATTTTCTCTTTGTACTGCAAACATAGTACAAAGATTCTGTATTCCCCATTCCAGCATCCCCTAATATTACAGATTAATATGGCACATTTGTCACAATGAACCAATGTTGATAACATTATTATTTACTAAAGTACATACTTGATTATTCAGATTTCCTCAGTTTTTCCCTAATGTCCTTTTTCTGTTCCAGGATCCCATCCAGGTTATCATCTTACTTTTAGTCGTCAAGTCTCCTTAGACTCCTCTTGGCTGTGACAATTTCTCAGACTCCCTGTATTTGATGCCCTGACACTTTTGAGGAGTACTGGTCAGGTATTTTGTATAATGTCCCACAGTCAAGTTTGCTTGATATTTTTTCCTTATGGCTACACAGGCATTAAGTACTTTTGGGAAGAGGACCACAGAGGTAAAGTGCTGTTCTATCACATCATATAAAGAAGACATATTTTCAGTGTTGTCACTGTTGATGTTAACCTTGCTCACCTGGTTGAGGTAGTGTTTGTCAGGTTTCTCCATGGTAAAGTTAATTGTTGATATCTCCCTTCCCATACCGTGCTCTTTGGAAGAATGTGTGGACTTTGTAGTCCACCCTTAAAGGAGTGGGTGTTATACCTTGCTTCCTTGAGGGCAGAGTATCTGTAAAATTTGCTTGGAATTCTACACAAATACTTGACTTTGTCTCTTATCGCTGAACTCAACTTTTCCATTTACTTATAATCAGTATGGAGTCATTATTTTATATTGTGGAATCTAATCTAAATCTAATACCACTTTATTTCCTTGTTCACATTGTTCCAGGTTTGGCCACTAGGAGCCCTTTCAGTGGGCTCTTGTGTCTATTTGACATATCCCTGTCATTGTGTTGTGTGTTTTTTAACAAAGTCTTACTTTATGGCACTACAAGATGTTCTAGCTCGCATAGCCCATGCCCAAGCGCTAGAATCCGCCTTCTCCAAGGGACCCTGGTACTGTTGGTTGGAGAATGGTATTAAAAACCAAGGCCTGGGCACTAAGTGTAGCATTACTATTGGCATAGTATTGCTTCCAGGCCCTCTGAGTTGACAGAGCAAAGAGAGATCTGGATATTTAATAACCGTGAATATATACATACACATCTGTATGTGTATTTACGTATATGCATTTACGTCTCTAATTTTTTATTAGAAAATTTGACCTTTAGTCTTAGACACTACTCATTTCCACTTGATCTTAGCCAAAAGGCCGAGAAGCGATCTTCTCATTTCCAAAGGCACCTATGTCAGCACCTAATTACATCATCCCTCTTAGTGAGGTTGTTTCATACCTTGTAATATACTCAGATTCTTCTGTCACATTCTGCATTTTGGGAGTGCAGTTGTAAATGGTATTTTTAAATTTCAAACTGCAGACATTCATTGCTGTTAAGGAAAGCAATTGACTTGTGTAGTAGCCTTGATTCTTGTAGACTGATAACCAAGCGTTTATTAATGCTTTGGCACTTTCCATACAATCATGTCATCTCGAAACAGAAAGTTATATTCCTCCATTCCAATCTGTATGTTTTATTTCCTTTGATATTATTGCACTAGCTATAACTTCCAGCATGATGTTTAATAGGAGCAATGAAAAAAGACATCCTTGCCTTGTTCCTAATCTTAGGGTGAACTGTGCACTTCCTCAACATTATCTGAGATGTAAGTTTGTTGTAAAAATTCTTTTTTTTTTAAGATTTTTTTAAATTTATTTATGCATACAAGAACTGAGGTGTAGGCCAGGTGTGGGGTTTGGGTGAGAGGATTCACCAGAGACAGCGTGGGGAGCAGAACAGGCAGATCTACTGAAATACACTGCTCAAGGGGGCAGCAGGTGAGACAGGAGTGCAAGTGCGAACCCCGTGGTTAACCCCTGCGCCCCCAGGGCGGCACTGTTATAGTCTTTATCAAACAGTGGAAGTTACCCCTCTAATTCCAGTTTGAGAATTTTCATCATGAATAGAGTCTGTCAGATCCTTTTTTTGCATCAAGTGAGGTGATCATATGACTTTTCCTTTTTGGCCTGTTAATGTGATTGGGTGGATTATATTGATTCACTTTCAAATGTTCAATTAGCCTTACATACATTCCATTTCATTCGTTAAGTGCATACCTTTTTATACATTGTTGGATTGGATTTGCTAAGATTTTGTTAAGAATTTTGTGTCTGTGCTCACGAGAGATCGTGATATGTAGTTTTCCTTTCTTATAATGTCTTTTATCTGATTTTGGAATTAGATAATACCTCACCGAATGAGTCAAAAAGTTTTCTCTCTACTTCAATTTTATGGTAGAAAATTGTTATTATTTCTTCCTTAAATATTTGGTAGAATTCATTGGGGAAGTCCTTTGGTCCTGTTGATTTCTATCTTTGAAAGATTATTAATTATTGATTCAATTTCCTTAGTAGATACATGGCTATTCAGGATATCTTTTTCTTGTATGAGTTTTTGTAGTTTGTATCTTTCAATGAAGTGGTTCATTCATCTAAGTTATTAAATTTGTAGGCATAGATTTGTCTATAATATTCATAATATCCTTTCATTATCTTCTTAGGATCCATAAGACCAGTAGTGATAATCCCACTTTTATTGCTGATATTGTTCATTGAATTGGGATCCTCTTTCTTTTTTCTTGGTTACCCTGGAAAGAGATTTGTCAATTTTATTTATCTTTTCAAAGATCCAATTTTTAATTTCATTGATTTTCTCCGTTTTCCTGTTTTCACTTTCATTGATTTCTATTTCTTCTCCTTGTTTTAGATGTAAATTCTACTTTCTTTTGTTTTCCTGTGAAGAAAGCAAGGTTATTAATGTTAAATCTTTCTTCTTTCCTCATATATTCATTTAAGCTAGAAATTTCCCTTTGAGCACTGCTTTTGCTACAACCCAAAACTTTTTTGGCCTTCTGAATTTCCTCTTTGGTGAATTGCCTTTTGAGATTTGCTGCCCCCAAAAGTTTTGATAAGTTGTATTTTTACTTAGTTCAAAATATTTTTACATTTCTCTTTGACTCATGTGTTATTCAAAGAAGTGTGGTTTCATTTCAGAATATTTGGGTTTACCATGTATCTTTTTGTTATTGAGTTCTAGTTTACATCCTTTGAGAACACACTTTTATGACTTTTAGTCTTTTAAATTTATTAAGCCTATTTTGTGGCCCAGAATATGAATTCTCTTAATGAATGGTCTGTGTGAGCTTGAAAAACATGTGCTATTGGATGGAATGGTCTATAGATAGCGGTTAAATCAAGTTGATTCATGGTGCCATTCAGGTCAACTGTATCCTGACTGATAATCAGCCTGCTTAATTTTCAATTACTGATGGGGGGGCATTGAAATCTAATAATGAATTTTTGTGTATCTCTTTTCATTTCTATCCGTTTTTTTGCCTCATTTTGACACTTTTGTTAAGTGCATACATATTTGGAATGATTATGTTTTGCTTTTCACAATTGATTGCTTTATCAGTTTGGAGTGCTTCTTTTCATCTCTGATAATTTTCCTCATCCTGTGAAGTCTGCTTTTTCTGAAATTATATATTTACTCCAACATTCTTTTCCTCCTAGTTTTCTTTTGATTAGTGTAGTGTGGTGTAGCTTTCTCAATTGCTTTACTTTCAAATCTTTGGAGTCCTTATATTTTGAAGTGGACTTGCACACACCATATAGCTGTTTGCTTTTTTTTTATATTCGCTTTTTTTTTTATATTCACTCTAACAGGTGTCTTCAATCGGTGTTTTTAGACCAATTACATATAAAATGATTATTGAGATATTTGGATTAATATCAGTCAGTTTTCTGTTTGTTGCCAGAGGTTTCTTTTCTGCCTATTCTGGTTTTCATTAAGTACTTTATGTGATTACATTTTTTCTTTTTTTAAAGATTTATTTTATTTATTTATTCATACAAGAACTAGGGTGTAGGACAGAGGTGCAGGGTGAGGGGGTGAAATGATTCACCAGAGACAAGAGTGGGGAGCAGAACAGGCAGATTAACTGAAATACACTGCTTGAGGGGAGCAGCCCGCAGACAGGAGAGGTCTGCTGAGCCGTGGGTCAGCTCCCTGGGGGGAGGAGAGAGGGGGAAAGCTTCATAGTGCTGAGACTTAACCCCTTGCACCACTAGGGAGGACCCTCATTTTGTTTTCTTAGTGTGTCAATTATATTTCTTTTTGAAAACGTTTTAGTGACTCCCCTCATATTTACAATGTACATTTTTACCTATGATTGCTCTCAAATAATCCTCCTCTGCTTCATATATATGTAGTACAGGTACCTTATTAGAGTCTGCAAAATTGATTTCACTTATCCATGTACTATAATTATTCAGTACATTATTATTACTTTAGCTCAGTTATCTTCTATATCAATTAAGAATAAGATAAATAAAATATTTTATTTTCTTTCATGTATTTCATTTTCATGTTGTTTCTTCACATAGACCCAAGTTGCTGACGTGTAGAAGTTTTCTTCTGTCTGAAGAAAATCTTTTAACATTTTTTCAAGGGAAGGTTTGTTGGGACTGAATTCCATCAGTTTCTGTTTTTCTGAAAAAGTCTTGTATCTCCTTCACTTTTGAAGGATAAAGTTGCTAAAATTTTATGTTGGTGGATATTTTTCTTTCAGCATTTAAAATATTTCACTCCACTCTCTTCTTGTTTGTACGGTATCTGGTAAGAATTCCACTCTAATTCTTATCCTTAGTCCTCTACAAAGAAAGTGGGTTTTTTTCCTCTAGTTATTTTCAAGATGTTCTCTGTCTGTTTTATGAAGATTGAATATGATATGCCTAGGTGTAGGTTTTTTTTTTGTATTTATTCTGCTTTGTATTTTCCAAACTTCTTGAATTTGTAGTGTAATATCTCTTTTATTTATTTTTTATTTATTTTTATTTTTATATCCCCCATACAATTTTGACCCCAATTTTGACCCCAATCCCTCCTTCCCCCCCCCCAAAGAGTGTCTCTGGTTCATAGTTGTTTGTTGATGTAGTGTAATATCTCTTACTAAGTGGGAACGTTCTCAGTACTTAGTATTTCAAATATTTCCTCTACCCTGTTTTCTCATCCTTCTGGTATTCCAATCATGTACGTATTACATGTTTTAAAATTGTTCCACATTTCCTGGATGTTCTGTTCCTTTTTTTTTCTTTTCCTGTTTGTGTTTCAGTTTAGGAAGTTTCTGTTGATATATCTTTAAACTCACTGATCTTTTTTCCCTCAGTTGTGTCCAAGCTATTGATGACCCACCAAAAGCATTATTCATTTGTGCTTCAATTTTTTTCAATTTCTAGTAGTTCCTTTTAAAGCTTTATTGGTGTTTCCATCTCTCTGCCTATATTAATCATCTGTTCTTGCATGTTGGTTGCCTACTTTTTCCATCTTTGCCCTTAACAAATCGATCATAGTTATGGTAATTTCAAAATTTGCATCATATCTGAGTCTGTTTCTGATGTTTGCTTTGTCTCTTCACCTTATTTTTTTCCTTGCCTTTTGACATGACTTGTAAGTAAATTTTTTGTCAAGAGATGTATATGTCATATTTGGTGATAGGAACTGTGGTAAATAGTCCTCTACTGTGAGGATTTACGTTAAACTGACTAGGAGTTGGGCTTCGATTAATGTTTGTTGTTGTTTTGGATGACGGAGGCTTCAGAGTCCTTAATATTCCTTTTTTCTTTCCTCTTGATTTTGGGTTTCTCTAAGTATTCATTTTCAGAAAGAGTCTGTTTTTTGTGGCTCTTCAAGCTGTATTTTGCTTTTTTAATAGTAGATCCCTGATGGTGTAATCGTAAAATGCGGGGGGAGATTTTTTCATTTTTTAGTGGATCTGTGTTCTGGCCTGTGACTTTCACGTATGTTTTTAAATAGCTTATATCCTCCTCTTAGGTGAGACAGGAAGTATAGAGGCAATAGAATTGGATAATGGCTGTTTCCCCCATATCCGAGACAAGTCACTGTAAAAAATCATTTTTCCTGGAGAGTAGACATTTGTTGTGAAGAAAGTTGAAGAATAAAGTTCTTCTGAATTACACAGGTTACTTATTGAGTGTGTTGTGAATAGCTGGGAGTCCACAAATCTGGGTTCCAGAACCAAACTGTCTCAGAACCGGTCTTTGTCTCTTTATAATGAAGCCAAAAGTACCTAGCTTCCCATCCTCACCCTTACTATACACAGTATAAGTCTGGTGATGCAGATGGATATAAGATAACTTAGCAGAATATCTAGCTCATGAACTGTTGAATCATTCTGAATTCTAGAACTGTCTCTATCACCTACTATCAGTTCTTTGATCTTGGGAACAGCTTTGCTCTCCAAAAGCCTCAAGTTATCCCCTGTTTAAAATGGGATTGATGACTCTCCTTTCACTTTAGCCCCTGCTAATAATATTGAACCAAGTAGTGTGTCCCTTATGGGACTTGAGTTCTCTAATACCAAATCAAATTCTATGAGTACAGAATGATGGGAGAAATGATGAGAGAAAGAGGCAAAAATATTCTCACTTGTGGTAATTTTCTAGTTTTCATTTTGTTTTTAATTTCTTAAAATCAAGGTATAACTTATATATAACATCGCATTAGCTTTACGTGTACTTCATAATGATTTTGTATGAATGTGTGTAATGTGTGTACACACACACACACACACACACACACATATATAAAGGATCACCAGAATGAAGTTTAGTTATTATACATATTTTTGAAGGATCACCAGGATGAAGTTTAGTTAATATCATCACCATAGATAGTTAGGTTTTTTTCTTGTGATGAGAAATTTTAAGATCTACTCTTTTATCAAGTTTTAAATATACAATACAGTATTGCTAACTATAATCACCCTGCTGTACATTACATTCCCAGGACTTGTTTATCTTTTAACTGGAAATTGCTATTGCTTATTGATTTCTGTATTAATATATTGTGGTCGAGTACATAATGTGTGTAATTTCAATCCTTTCATACTTGTTGAGACCTTTTATGGCCTAATATGTAGTCAGTTTCTATAAAATGTTCCATGCATGCTTATACTAAGTGAAATGTTCTGTTTATGTACTTGGGGAAGGCTTGTTAGCCAAATTGTTCCAATCTTCTTTATGATTGTTGACTTTTTTATCTACTTGTTCTGTCAGTTATTGATGGAAATGTGTTAAAGTCACCCACTGTAGTTGTGAATTTGTTTCTTCTTGTAGTTGTCATTTTACATTTTATTGTGAAAGATAGCACACATGCAGAATCATACACACACACCGCGCACAGCTAAATTATTTATTATACCGTGAGAACCTGAGTAACTACCACTTATGTCAAGAAACAGAATACCTTTAACATTCCAGAAATCCTGTTGATGTCACCTCCCAATCATTCCACCCTTTCTCCCTACTAGAGATAAAATATTATCTTGAATTTTGTGGTAATCATTTCCTTGCTTTACTTTTATTAAATTTTACAATCTAAGTAGGATAGTTTAGTTTTGCCTCTTTTTTGAACCTTATATAAATGGAGTTACACAGCATGTAATTTTTATAGCTAGCATATGTTGTTAAGTACTATGTTTATAATATTAATCCATGTTTTTGAGTTTCGATATTCATAATTTATTTTCACTGATGTGTAGTACACTATATTGAATATATAGTTTAAGGTATTGTTTTATTCTTTATGGACATGTGAGTTATTTCTAGTTTTTTGATATTATAAATAATATTACTGTCAACAGTCTTGTATATGTCCCTAGGTGCATTTGTGCACACATTTCTGTTTGGTTACTACCTATGAGTAGAGTTACATGTTCAACTTTAATGATGATGCCAAATTTTTCCAAAGTAGTTGTAGCAGTTTACACATCTATGTGTAGTGATGCGAGTTCTCACTGATCAATATCCTCACTGTCACTGTGATTGTCTTTCTCATTTTAGCCGTTTTGTTGAATGTAGTACATTGCAGTTCTAATTTGCATTTTGTTAATGAAGTTAAACAGATTTTCTTTTTTGGATTACAATTTGGACATCTTTATGAAATGACTTTTTTTTCATTCTATTATTGTCTTATGTTTTTTTCACTTTGCTTTGTAGGAGTTTTTAATATATTCTGCATCTGAACCCTTTGTCTGTGAAATGTATTGCAAGTATTTCTCCCACTCTGTGGCATTCCCTTTAACTTTCTTAATAGTATCAATTGATGAATGGAAAATCTTAATTTCACTGGAGTCAGTTATCAAATTTTTACTTATGAATAGTGCCTTTCATGGGCCAGTTTTAAAAGTCTGTTTCTGCCATGTAGTTATGCAAATATTCTATTTTATTTTCTGGAAGATAGATATAGTAATTGTTAAAAAATTTGTTTTTATGTATTGTATTAGGGTTTTTCAGAGAAAATAGTAGGAGATTATACATATATGTAAGTATGTATACATATATGTGTATATATATATATATATACATATGCATACACACATGAATAGAGCTTTATTTAAAAAAAAATGGTGCTTATGGAGTCTGGGAAGTCCCACATAAGGGACGGTAATCTGCTTTATTCAATCTATGACTGTAGTGTTAATCTCATCACAATCATAACCAGAATAATGTTTGATCAAAAATCTGAGTTTTTTGATGCATGAAATTAACCATCACATGTACAGTGAGATGTAGGGGTAAAGATTTATCTTTTCCTGGGCCTCCCCGGTGGCGCAGTGGTTGAGCACTGGGTTGTGAAGCTGCCCGCAGCCTCTGCAGTGCCGGTTTGATCCCCGGCTGCTCCCCGGCCACTGGAGGAGGGTCCCACATGGTGCGCAGACCTCTCCTGCCGCCCGCTGCTCCCCTCAGCAGTGTGCTTCGGTCCTTCTGCCTGCTCTGCTCCCTGCTCTGGCTCTGGTGAATTCTCTCACCCTCCCATTCTTCTGACTATACCCAGTGCTTGTATAAATAAATAAATAAATCTTTAAAAAAAAAGATTTATCTTTTCCTTATCAATATCCAGTTTATTCAACATCATTATGGAAATCCTTTCCCCTAATGCTTAACAACGCACCTTTATTATGAATCAAATATCTCTGTGCATGGGTCTGATTCTGCTACTTCTGTTTAATTCCATTGGTCCTTTTGGCTATCCTTACACTAATATCACAGTATCTTAACTACTATGACTTTAAGTCTTAAGATTTAGACTTCAGATGTGTTAGTACTCCCTCTTTTATAATTCTCTGGAAGACTTTGGATGGATATTTTCTTCCTCAGATATCTATTAGGCAGAATTTACTGGTGAAGTTATCTAAGCCAGAAATTTTCTTAGTGGGAAACATCTTGAAAGATTTTAAATTCTGGATGTTATTTCTTTAATAGTAAAAAATCAGAATTTTAAGTTACTAAGTGTTTCAGTAAGATGCATTTCATTATGATTTCATCTTGTAATAAATCTTGCTCTGGATTTTGAAACATTTATTTACTTATTTTTGTGGGTGTTATTCCACAAAAATTCCAGAATATCTTCTGGACTTGATACTGGTTTTTAAAGGTGAGAAAAATGGGCCGGTTCATGCTTCCTTTTGAGGAACAGATGTTGCCTCAAACTGATGCCATCTTCATGCCTTGCCAGCTTTCTTTTTACAGTTTTCCAATTCCTTGTCGATTGGATTCCTAAATAGGCTGTTGGTCGTACTCCCAGTTATAATCAGGATTGCCTTCCCAACTGCTCTCCTCACTGGGTTGGACCTAAAGATGTTTTTCTTATTGCTTCTCTTGGGCTTTCCCAGGGGGTTCTTTTCTGGACTCTTCAATAAATGGTTCATATGAATCTTCAATGAATTCCCGGCTGAAATCCTGATCCAAAAAGTCACTGAATTCTCCACCAGTATGCCTCGATCTGTGGGCCTTGTTGCATGCAGAAGACACCACAACCCTTGGAAACAGCATCAAGGAAGACAGTGAGTGAATTCAAAAAGGGGTTCAAGGGTACCTAGCCTGTGTTTCTTGTCTCTGAACGCCGTCAGAAGTTCACTTCAGATTCTGTCACTGCCATCAAATCTGGATTAAATAAAATCCAGCTGAGTTAATGTTACAGAACTGGTTGGCTTTATTAAAAGATTCATGAATCAGGAAGCATCTCCTCTGCCAAATGGAAAGGCGTGGCTTAGGTTTTTTAAATTCATTGACATAAAGTTGTTGTAAATACATACATGCATATGCATACACATACACATATATTTATCTATATAAATATATGTACCTCAAGATTTTATTGTTTTCATAATAAAAATGAAGCTTAGATCTGGATTTGTTCTTTATCTCCCAGTTCGAAGTGTTTGTATCTCTTAATAGCCAGTATTCTCTTGCATCTGCAGTTGGGGTCAACTCATTCAAGCCTTGGCACATTCTTTGTAGATTTTAGTCTTTTTCCTGAAAATTGACTTAGTCTTCCTGTCATAGTCACCATGCTTCCTATCATAACTCTGCTTTTCCTAGGCATGCAGAGAATCCTTGCCCTTCTTACACTGGCTCATTTTGTGGGGTTAGCACTTGCTACACTTCTTACAGAAAGTCCAGTGGGTTTCAGGAATTGTTATGTTTATGAGAGCAATATCAGCATAGAAAATACTAATATATTTTTTAATCTAGGATCTGAGGTAATATCTGGTCTTGTCATTGCTTATTTGTCCATTTTTACATTTTTTTCTAGGTCAGTCTACACATTGATTAATTTTATTACCATTTGCTAAATAACCAACATCTAGCTTTGTTACTGCATTTTATTGTGTTTGTGTTCTATTACATTAATTTCTGTGGCTGGGTTTATATCTCGTTGCTTCCACTTTCATTGGATTTAATTTGTGTTCTGTCTCTGTGTTCTTAAGTGGGATGCTGGGTCATTGATTTTCAGTATTTTTTTCCTCTTCTAGTATGTACTTTTCAAATTATAAATAGCATGTTTCAGATAGAACCCACATATTTTTTCATTATGTTTCAGTTCACAACATTTCCTAATTTCCATTATGATTGCAATTTTATTATCACTGCTCTCATCTTAAAACTGTCTATATTCTTTAAGTAGTGGTAATGGGCCTCCTGAGGCTCACAAGTCCTCCATTAACCTCTAGTTCTCATATCAAGGTAACTAAGAGGCCTGCTCTGGCTGGGCACATTGAGAAAAATCTATCTGTCCCTCCTGGGGAGACCAACCCATAAGGTCAAGTTAATAAGTACATACAAATTGTAAAATATGAGGTAAATTTCCTTATGTCTTGTAATGCTTTTTGTTTTAAAGTCTATTTTGTTAATAAGTTAACTATAATGACTTTCTTTTGGTTAGTGTTTGCAAGTTAAATTTTTTTCTTAACTTTCGGTCTTTATATTTTAGATATCTTTTGTAAGCAGTATAGTATTTTTTTTCTAGTCTGAAAATAATTTTTATACTGCTTTGTGACACTATGTACATTTAATGTACTTACTGATATTAATAGGTGTAAATTAACCATTGAACCAAATTCCTTCTCTTTGTCCCATCTGATGTATGTTGCTTTTCTTTACTTTAGGATTGATTATTTTCTTATTTTTGCTCCTCTGTTAGCTTGGAAGTTTTATACTCTTGTACTCTTCACTAATGGTTATCTGGCAATAATAGCATAGTGTTTTACTTACAAAAGGCTAATATTAATTTACACATTTACATACTCCCCAGATAATGCCAGAACTTGAATATTTTTGCTCTAGCTCTGTTGACTCATGTTGTTAATATGAATTAAATGATAATACTTAACGTAGTGTTGATTTAAATATTCACAGATATTTAGCCCTTTAATTGCCGTTATTCCTTCCTTCATCTCTAATCTTCCATCTGGGATTTTTTTTTCCTGTTCTCTGAAAAATGCTCTGCAGCATTTAGTATTTCTTTCAGTTAATGCCTGCTACTAGCGAACTCTCAGTTTTAGGGGTTTTTTGTACAGATCTTTATTTCACCTTCATTTTGAAAGGTATTTTTGCTGGCTATCAGTTTCTTATTTAGCATTTATTTGCTTTTCAGACACCGAAGATATCATTGCACCATCTTTGTATTTCCATTGTTGCTGTTAAGTAGCCCAAATCAACCTAACATCTGTTCCTTTCAAGTTGCATTCTATTTTTTTTTTTTGATTACTTTTAGGATTTTCTCTTTGTCTTTGAATATCTGCAGGCTCACTGTTATGCATCTGTGTGTTTCATTTATCCTATTTGAGATTTGAACTTCTTCAGCCATTATATCTTCAAATATTGCCTTTTTCTTTTGGAACTCCAATTAAACATGTTAGACTTTGTCAGACCTTTCCATCTGTATTTTCCTTCTTTTCGACTTCCTGTACAATTTTAGTTTCTTCTGAACATAATTTCCAATTATTTGTCTTTTGAATCGCATTTAATCTGTTGTTAATTCCTTTCATTGAGTTTCTAATTTCATCTGAGTTTCTTAGTTTTAGAATTTCCATGTTTATTTTTCACTTTTTCTGGTTTATATTCCTTGCAGTTTTCAAGATAGGATTTTACTTATCAGAATACACTAAGCATTGTGGTTTAATAGTCTATCTGAAAATTCAGATAATTCAAAGTTTAAGGGATCTGTTTATATTGCCTGTTGTCTCTACTGCTACTTACTTAGGATGTATCTCTTGTTTGTATTTCTGGTTATCTTTATGTGTGGGCATTGAACTTGAACAATTGATAGTTATATAATTTGAGGCCAAGGATGATGGAATCTTACTACAGAGAAGGTCGTATTTGCACTGCTTAGGCCACTAAGGGTTCTTCTTGTCTAGAATCACATAATCTATGTTCAAACCTTAAAGTATACTAATCCACCTGGATGTTGCAAAGTGTAGCTAAAAAACTATGAGGGCTGGTTTATTTGAGGTTTCTAGCATCAGATGGGAATTTATTAGGAAACCCCCCTCCTTTTGATGAGGCTTGGGCTTTGATTTTTGCCGCTCTAGTGCTTTGAGACTGCCATATATTCACCTTAGTCTAGCATTGGCTTATTCCTTAACCACAGATGCTTTGGCAACAAATATAATTAACCATATAAGTACTAGATGAAAATATTGGTGAGTTCCTCTTTGACCTCATGTAGGAAAAGAGTTCTTAACTATGAATCAAAATTTAGATGCAATAAAAGAAAAATTTGATACATTTTGACTGCTTTTTCTTAAATACCTGGCAGAAATATACCATAAATAAAGTCAAAAAGCAACTAACAAACTGAAAGAAAATATTTGCAACATTAATAACAGATGAGCCTGCTATAGTTAATGTATACAGAATACTTGGAAAATGACGGTAGTAGGACCAACAACTCCACAGAAAAATGGGGAGAAGATATAAACAGGCAATTCACAAAGATATTAAAATTGTCATTAGACACAGAAATGCAAAATAAAATACTGCGATGCTACTCATCTATCAGCAAAAATTTAAAAGTATACTAGTTATGTTGGAAAGGGGTTTGGGGAAACCATATTGCTGTTGGGGAAGCAAAAACCACCACTTGTCTGAGGTTCCAGGGAGGGAAAAACCCCAAGAGGTAGGTTTGGGAATCCTCTGTGCTTAGAGGGAAATGCACAGACATCACCCAGGGAGAGCCGAACCCGCGGACTGAGAGGAGCAGAGGCCCAGGCCCACCACTCCAGGAGGCTGCTCGGCTTCCGGGCGGGCACCACCACCTGGGCTCTAGGACGCGAGTCTGTCTGGAAAGCGGCTGCGGGGCTCAGTTGCCCAGCGCACCGGGCCAAGCCGGGTACCAGCCTGTGCTCGGCCGGCACACCCGAGACACGGGGCGTCCCGGAGGGGTGCCGCGCCAGGTGCCAGGCCCCGATGCGCCAGGTACAGCACCTGCCGGCGGGGCAGGGAGCCCGCCCCAGCCCCTCTCTGCGCGACTCTCGCTTTATCATCTCCCCCACCCAAGTCCACAGATGCTTGGTCCTCTGGAGGGAGGGGGAACGGGGGAGGGGGCCGAGCTCGGGTGACGCGGCGCTCACGTGGCCGGTTGGGCGCCGACGTGGGCAGCAGCCCCCGCGCCGCCCGCCTGCCCTGCGGTCCAGTCCCGGTGCGGTCCGCTCCCGTCGCCCGCGCGGAACCGGCTCCGGGAGCTGCCCGGGCGGCGGGCGGGGGCGAGCGGGCTTCGGCGAGCCCGAGGAGGCGCAGGCCTGCCCGGGCCCGCAGGTCAGTGCGAAGGTGGGCGCTGCCCGCGCCAGGGGCAGGGGTGGCGGTGGACAAGGGTAGGACCCGGGAGCGGGGGGAGGGGGGGTGAGGACGCCTGGGCACCAGTGAGGAGGGGACCCGGCGCGGGAGAGGCCGATGGGGAGGGAGGACCCCGAAAAGGACCCTCCTGCTGCCTTGACGACCCTCCCCTGCGCCCCATCCGCTTCCCAGCCTGAAATGGGGGGGCGCCCCCGCAGTGCGACAGTGAAACGCAGACACCTTCTGGAAAGAATCTCCCTCACGTTCTGTGCCTCTGAGCAAAGGCTGACCTCCAGGAAAAGGGGGTGGGGGGAGGGGGCTGCCTGCACACAAGCGGGAGACCCCCAGTGGTTGGGAAAGCAGCCTGGTCTGGCTGCAGAGGCCTGAGAAGTAATGGCGGCTGGGATGCTGGGGAGGTAGGGGAGGGAAACGTCTGCTGAAGAGCACCGGGTTCAGAGAAGGGACCCCAGTTCTCCGAGGACACAGCCCCTGCCCCCTGTCTCCCGTAGGTCTGCCTGCCTGTTTCCAGCACTCTGCAAGGCTAGAAGGACTAGCAACCTGTCCAGAGTCCCTGCAGGTCAGTGCAGGGGGTGGGGTCACTGGGCCGAGGCGGGGAGGGGGGAGTGGGGAGGGCAAGGCTTGGGCAGAACTGCAGGGCCTCACTGCCCATCCCCCAAACCACACAGCCCCACCACGCAGAAGGGTGGTCCAGAAGCTGCAGGGCCTGCCAGGGGAGGGTTGGCTCACGTGTGGGAAGAATGGTGGGGTCCGGGGTGGGCAGAGGCACACTTGGAGGGCCAGGCCAGGCCAGGCCAGGGAACCCTGACAGGGGAGAGAGGAGATTGCTGTGGGTCCCTGCATTCCACCCCCAAGCCCTCAGTCTCCCTTGTCTCCTCCTTCCCCCTAATCCCCCATCCCCCACCCCCACCCCCAGGACAGGAACAGGAGGGGAAATCTCAGCATGGAAAAGCTCTGCACTGAGAACGAAGGGAAGCAGGAAAGCGGGGGAAAGCCCGAAGATGAAGTGGAGCCTGAAGATGGAGACAAGTCTGAGGAGGACGAAATGCCGCACATAAAGAGGAACCCAGAACACCGCAAGCGCCAGGATGAGGGACAGGCAGAGGATGGGGGACAGTCAGAAGAGGAGGGAAAGCAGAAGCAGCAGGGCAAGTCGGAGGATGAGGGAAACGCGCACGGGGAGGGCGAGCCCGAAGCCCAGGGCCAGCCCGAGGGTGCGCTGCGGGCTGCTGAGAAGCGCCCGGCCGAGGATTACGTGCCCCGGAAAGCCAAAAGGAAAACGGACAGGGGGACGGAGGATTCCCCCAAGGACTGTCAGGAGAACGTGCAGGAGAGGCCTGCGGGCGGTGAGGAGGTGATGAGAGAATGTGGAGATGTGTCCCGGGCTCAGGAAGAGCTGAGGAAAAAGCAGAAAACGGGGGGCTTTCATTGGATGCAAAGAGATGTGCAGGATCCTTTTGCCCCAAGGGGCCAACGGGGTGTCAGGGGAGTGCGGGGCGGAGGTAGGGGCCAAAGGGGCTTACATGATATCCCCTATCTTTAATACCTTTGGCTTCGATTCTGGTGTCGCTAATGAGAATATTGCTGACCCCGCTTGCCCTGGCAGGCATTTGCCAGGCTATGTGCTTTAACCTCGTGCTGATCCTTCGCGTTAGGTGTCACTCTTGTTACCAGCAGCCTTCTGACCCAGCTAGAGTGCTCTATCAGTAGGGGAGTTTTCACCCATGTGCATGGAAGAGATGTTCATGGTGCATTGTAAAATAATAAAAAAGGACAGTTTTCAGAACCGCATATATAGCATCTGCCCATTTTTGTAAAAATGGATTCTGCATAATGTGTGAGTACAATTACCTGATGAGTATGTATCTCCATGTTTCCCTCTACAGACGTGTCCACCCCCTTCTCTTCCCTACTTGTACCAGTATCAGTAGACACTGCTGTCCCTTCCCCCCAATCCTCTAGTGTCCTGTGGGTCCCACCATGTGTGATTCTTTTTTTTTTTTTTTGAAGATTTATTTATTTTTGTACAAGAGCTGGGGGTACAGGCCAGAGGCGCGGGAGGGTGAGAGGATCCACCAGAGACAGCGGGTAGCAGAACAGGCAGAAGGAGCGAAATATACTGCTGAGGGGAGCAGCGGGAGAGACAGGAGAGGTCTGCTGCGCAATGTGGGATTCTCTCCCACCGGCCAGGATCGAACTTGCACTGCAGAGGCTGTGGGCAGCTTCACAGCGCGGCGCTCAACCCGCTGCGCCACCAGGGAGGCCCCCATGTGTGATTCTTTTTCTCTTTGCTCACTCATTTACACTTTCTCCTAAAGGATATGGATTATGTTTGTCACAATAAAAACAGATCCAGAAATCAATACATGACAAACAATGGAAATGCTCAGTGAGCTTATTAGGGCAATGAAGACATTCAAAATTCCTGCTCTCAGAATGTAAAACTCACATTATCATTAGGACTTCTTGGTAGAAGAATCAACCTATCCATTATCAGAACAGATCCATTGTTGTAAGGGTCAGTCTTGTCATCTGTGAAATGGGAACAAAATTTGTCCCACAGACTGCTGAGTTGATTAGATGAGGTTCTGAGTAGAGGGGCACTAGAAGGACCACGGACCCTGTCAGACAGTCAGTGGGGAGCTGAAGGTCGATCTCATCTGTGTCCAGGAGCAAGCCCAGGCAGTTGAGAAGAGGGTGCCACCCTCCTCTGGCTACAATACATCTGGGCATTCCTGCTGTGCCCTGTACCCTCCCTCTGCTGACAGTGATTGATATAATGAGCCCTTGTGACAAAGTCCCTTGATTCCCTAGTGTTCTCAAAGGACCACAGCACCTATTTGACGTCTGTAAGAAAGTGGACAAGCCCTTCCCTCAGCTTCAGAGCTGTCCCTATACTGGTGGCACTGCCATAAGGCTTGGGCCACACTGTGTTACATAGTTAACATTCATCAATATTTTTAGTTCATTTTATATTTGACTATAGTTTTCTTTCCATAGGACTCAGACATTTGGATCCACAGGGGGCTTTGTTGGAAGACTGATTTATGGGCAATAGATTGTGATTTGAACTGCAACCCTACCACAATACCCCAGGGAAACCATAACTAAATTTATGGTTTAGTATGTTTTTCTATCTAAAAAGTCTCCTATACAAAATCAAGGGACTTGTTCATATGTAATCACAGAAGGTTACACAGCTAAGTTTCGAGTTGAAAACCATCCCTTTCCAATATAGAGAAACCAAAGGGATCAAAGACAAACTTGAAAACTGACAATATATCTGAGGCACTCATGGGGGTGTGGGGGAAGTTGGGGGAAGAGCACACAATGGACTATGGTGGAGGACCATGGGTGCTTTGGTGGTAGAAAACTATGGTGACCACAACTGAGGGGAGAAATCATATATTTTGATAAAACAAACAAGGATGTAAAATAATGGTATATCATTAAAAATAAAGTAGCAGAATTCTAAATATATCCTGGTGGGTTTTTTTTTTCTGACTTTAAAATTAAAGCATAAATTGCATATAGTACAATGCACATGACTCAAATATTATATTTTGATAGTTTAGTTAAATGTGTATATGCTTATAGTCCACAACACTAAAAAATACAAGCTATTTATCACCATAGAGTCAATTTTCTCCCAAATCCTTTTAACTATTACAATAAATTTCAATGAGACTGCTAAATAGTGAAAATACAATTAGAAACACTGTTGAAAGATATAACTAATAACATTAACTGCAAAACATTATTTTTATGCTTTGATTCATTGCCAATGGCTTGAGGAATGATGTAACATGGAAACGCAACTAACATTCTGTATACTTGGGAGGGGGTGTCACTATCTCTGCTCTGATGCAGTCTTTGTGATAAATCTAAGAACTGGGTCATAAAATCTTTTATCTTCAAGGCTGCCTTTTGTGGACATATGAGTCTGGTCAAACATTCTGTTGTTTATACTTCTGAAGGTGGCAACATAGTGTGGGGGTTGGAATAATGGTGTTCTGGGCCTTCCAGATAGCCTACAGGTTTTCTTCACAACCAAACTGCTCTGTATTACTATGTGTTTTTTCTGTGCCCCAAATTGCTGCCTTCTGCTTATTATTTTCTACCACTTGTAGCTCTGCATTTATCTACATGGACTTTTTTCAATCACTGCCTGACTCCATTTTCATTTGTTTAACCTGTGTCCTCTTGGTAGATGGTTATGTTGTTCCTGACTTCACCTGCATCCAAGTTCCTCTTGACAGAAATCTGGAAGTTATTCTTTCCTCTTGGAACCAAGCAGGAAAAAAATCCATCCCATTGCCCGGAGTCATGAGAGCCAGGGACAATGGGAAGAGTGTCTGCGCTCTGAAGATTTTTAAAATTATTTTTTGCCACTATTTATATAATGTGTTCTAGAGTTTTCTCCTAACAAATGGAAAAAGACAATTGCTAATGATCAGTTAAATGCAAACAATAAAATTTAAAATATTGCTAGGAAAAAAGATAATCTTGGGTTAGGCAAACACTTCATAAAAGGACATAAAAAGCACTAGTAATAAAAAACTGATAACTGGATGACAAATATTTTTTATTATAAATTTTAATTAAGGAATAATTTTACTAATGAAGTACCATTGTTTTACATCTTTGTTAATATTTTGAAAACATAGGCTTTCTCCCCTCAGGTGTGGTCACTGTAGCTCCCACCACCACAGCACTTATAGCCCTCTACCACAGTCCATTTTATATTTGACCCTTGAAAACTGACCACTCTCCTTCACTCATCCCCCTTCCTTCTTGTTATCTCAGATCTATGGTCAGTTTTCAAAACTGGTTTTATAGTTTGTCTTTTTTTGACCCTTGGTTTGGTTTCTCTATATTCTACAGTACATATAAAAGATACTATCTGGTATTTATCTTTCTCCTTCTGGCTTATTTCACTTAGCATAAGCCCTTCCATCTCCATTCTTGTTGCTGTAAATGGCATGAGTTTCTTTTTTGATTGTTGAGTAATATTCCATTGTGTACATACCACACCTTCTTGATCCACTCATTTGTTTTGGGGCACTTAGGTTGTTTCCATATCTTGTGGGTAGTTAGGGTGATGATAAACTGAAGTACCACACTGTCATTTTACAACGCAATCCGCAGAAATAATAGTGAACTACTGATTAGAGCACGAGGGAATACAAGAATAGAAATAGGATCTTTCAAAAACTACCATTAACATTTAGCTTGGTGGCCACTTAGTTAAGGAATAACCCCCTGGCTATTTGTCAGTATGGACGGCCATAGACAATAACTGGCTATGAGGAAGGAAGTCATACAAGCACTTGCAAACATTTTAATTAGAAAAAGGATTTTACAAAAGTGTTAGCAGAATTATACCTTATGGACCAAACACATAGCCACTGAAATTAATTTAATCAGCCCTCCTGGTGTGTTCTTTAAACTTTGTTCTATTCTATAGAGCATAAATATTAAATGTTTATAAAACACATTTCATTGGAAATGCTTTAAGTACAAAACACACAATTCAAGCAAAAAACAATGCATTGTGGTCTCATGAATACATTTGCAAAACACAATAATGAAAAATTAACAGCCTCAAATAAGTAGATTACATTACAGAAGGATTGGCTAAAAGATTTAAATGAATAACAAAGTGCAAGCAATGTCAATTAGTGTTATTCTTTTGGTATACTGCATGAGAGTAAAGAAAACAAATGATCAAATCCTAGCAGTGGTATTAAAATCAAGTTCCTGTCTAATTTGGATTAAAAATAACACCAAGTTTTATTTTTAATAAGTTATTAGAAAATTCTGACTTTCTCATTGGCCATGTGTAAAATTATGCGAGTGCGAATCACAAGTAACAACTTGGAGACACCCAGGTTACACTTTTCTTAGCGCAAACCTGGCAGTATGCCAGCTGGTACATAAGTGCTGCAGGCTGACCTTTCTGGCTCAATACAAGTGTACAAGATCATGTTTCTCATAAGAATTTCACTTAAAGTCCAAGAACAAACATAATCAACAAAAAAAAAAACTAACCTGTGCACTTATGTTTCTTAAAAAAAACAACAAGGTAAATCAGTTTAATCTACTAAAATCCGTTTTCTTAAAGTGTCTAGCTGCATTGATCTTTTTCAGCTGAAAGGGTGAAGCACAATAGCTTTGACTCTGTTACAGACCAAAATCCAACAGGTAATACCAACACCACCTGCCGCTCTAGCAGGAAATGCTACCAGGTAGTCTAGTGGAGTTAGCCATTGACTCAGCACCACAGCCACAAAATAATACTTCTAGGTGAGCAAAACCATCAGGGCAGTTTGCAATATGTAGAAGGTAACATTTAGAACCCATTTCATCTTGGCTAACTGAGCTGCCTGAGCTTTCACATGAGCGTTGAGCTTATCTGTCAGCATGCTGATCTTTCTTTCCAGCCTGGAGTCTCCGGCAAAGTCACCCATCATGTTGACAATGGGGAGCTCTTGCTTCATGTCCTGGAATCGGGCTCTCATCTGTGACTCCTGCTCTGCATCCTTCTACAACACTCTGGACAGGGAGTGGGAGGAGGGCAGGAGGAGGATCCTGAGGACCTTGCACCCAAACACCAAGATGAGCACCAGCAGCCACCAAATTATAAAGTTTAAAAGGAGGCATGGGCCTCCCCTGGTGGCGCAGGGGGTTGAGCGCCACACTGTGAAGCTGTCTGCAGCCTCTGCAGCACCAGTTTGATCCTGCCTGGCTGGCTGGGGTCCCACATGGCACGACAGACCTCTCATGTCGTGCCCGCTGCTCCCCTCAGCAGTGTATTTCATCAGTCTGCCTGTTCTGTTCCCAGCTCGTCTCTGGTGAATCCTCTCACCCTCCCGCGCTTCTGGCCTGTACCCCAGTTCTTGTATAAAATAAATAAGTTAATTAAAAAAAAATAAAAGTAGGCAAAGGATTTGAACAGATGCTTCACCAAAGAAGAGATGAAGATCTCAAACGATCACATGAAAAGATGTTCAACATTGGGCCTCCCT